TTTATTTAAAAATTCAATGTATACATGGTTGCATAAACAGTTCATTTTATTTCAGTGTTCCTTTTAAAGTAACAGATTATAATTAAAAATGTCTCTGGACCTTTACTGGTTGATGATTTTCTTTATTCAGACCTGCTGATTTTTAATTGGTTACCCCTGCTCTATGTATGCGCCAAAAATAGGAAAAACTCCATAGAAAGTTCAGCGTATGGCAGCGTTTTAGGAGATTCTGGGACGTCGGGAAGACGCTGGATAAATCAGCAAGATGTAACAGGAGCCATCAGGTTGAAGTACGGCTGTAATAATCGATTATTGAAATAATTTAGTAATAGATTGATCATTGACTGGAGTATAAAGACTCTAAAACAGGTCTTAAACTGACAAAGCAACCCACTTAGAGCAGATATTATATCAAATTTGTAAAAAAAAAAAATATAAACATTTTGCATTTAAGTGGAAAAGATTCACCTGGTTTGATTTCACTAAAAATCTTCTTTAAGGAACCTTTGGCTACCTGATTATTATTCGATTAATTGAAAAAATAATCGACAGATTAATCAATTAGAAAATAATGGTTAGTTGCGGCCGTAGATTGAAGTGACGCCAACGCCTGCAGCTTACGTTCTCTCCAGCCGTGGGAGGAAGCGTCCCGCCCGCCGTCCCGCCCTCTCCTGGGAGGACCGTGGCTCCTCCCATCCTCTGCTCCTTCCCCACCCTGACCGGCTCCGACCCGTCTTCCCTCCAGACGGCCTTCAGTCCGAGTCCCGGGACCCGGAGACGAGTGCAGGTAAACGCTGCTGCTGTGGAAGCCGTTGGACTTGACAGCCTGTGGCAGACGAGGGTTTAGGAACTGCTGCATCTCGCCGTTTGCACCAAGCTTTTTACACATGGAAGGAACCAGAATACCTTGAAGCTGCTCAGCTGCTCCACTGAGTCCACAGAGTCGCAGAAGATTTCACTCTCCGAGTCGCTGGTCACAGCCAGACCTTCAGACGCCCCAGAATCTGCAGCAGAACATCAGAAACTAGAGCGATGAGTTCAAATCTGTTACGTTGGGAGGAACCGCAGAGGCTGCAGACTTTGCTTTGTGGAGCGGGGCGTTTAAGGAGGACGTGGGATATCAGGGTTATGAACACACCTTGTGGGGGGCGGGCCTCACCAGGAGCCCTCAGCTGCGGGTCTGGACCACCTCCTTCCAAACGCTCCGGCTCCTCTCCTCCCTCCGTGTCACCCTGCTGACTGCCTTTAGAGCCTGCAGCGAGACGCCGTGTAAAATGAACATTTTCAGCCTGTTTTATTCTGGACGTCCCATCAGAACCGAGCTCTTTTCTAAGCCCACACCCTGAACTGGACCAGTCAGAACCAACCCACCTTCAGCGAGGTCAAACAGCGACGCCGGAGGCCGGGGCATGTCATCAATGACCCTGTAGAGAGGCTCGAAGTGTCGGAAGGCCCCCGCCGCCGTTTGGTCCATGGGCATGGTGTTGATGACCTGCATGGATCCACCGGACAAAACAAACATGTTCTTTGCTTTTAATAATACTGGAGCAAATTTCTCTCCATACGGATCAGAAAGCATGAAAGATCTCCTTTACTGGAGAAACCAGAAGCTACCAGCCTACAGAAATATGACAGCAACATAAAAAGATTTGTTTAAATCGTGGGATCTGCCACAAAAAAGGAAAATTAAAATATTTGGTTAACTTAATTAAAAAAAAATCTCCACATTCTCCTATAGCAGGGGTCAGCAACCCGCGGCTCTTTGATGCCCGCTTGTGGCTCACTGGAGCTTTTTCATTTTTTTCTTCTTTTAAATATATGAAAATGTTTGTTTTAACATGGCGTGCAGGAGGTCAAACAAACACTCATTATGTTTCCAATCCTGTAAAAATGTGTAGAACAAATAAACTGTCAGAAATAGCGTTGAAATCCAGGCTTTATAGAGTGGATCAATAACGTTCGTCCGTTTCAATTTGCATGTTTTCTAAACCAAAACAAGGCTTTGTTGGGCTGATGGATAAAACCCAGCAGCAGCTGCCTCAGACTCGCTCGCCTCTTGGAGGTTTTCCCCTTACTGTTAATGCTGGCTGGAAGTAGATGTTAGCATTTTTCAGGTCTGTGCTACAAACTGCAGGCAGCAGGATAATAAAATCTAACATATTCTGCCAGCAGGTTTCTACATTTTAAGTTAATTTAGGCGTTAATAAACAGTTTAAGAGGAGTGATCATAGCGCTCTGTCTCCCTGCCAGCTCCCAGATCAGCTTCTCTGATTGGTTGATGCGACGCGTCCAGCAGCTAAAGTTAAATGTTTCAATCTCATGTGACGCGCTGCTCCTGCTGCTCAAAATGTGCTGCGGGACATTTTGCTTCGCCTTGACGCATGTCAACCATTGACTTTGCATGTAAACCAGCTGCTCCTGCTGCTTTTGGTCTGAACGCAGCATAACACTTGTTAACACTGGCAAAAAGCTTGCTGGTCAGTGGCGACCATGACTTCTTTGTCAGAAAGATGTCTTTGGTGTAGACACTTGTCAATCAAACATATCTGACCAATAGAGAAGCACCCGCCCACTGCGGAACATTTGTGTCAAAATTATGCAGTCAAAAAAATGTGAACATCAAAACTTTTTGCACTTCAAAAAAAAAGTTTGATTCAAATAAAACAATTTGAACTTTTTTCACTTAAAAAAAAAATTATTCATAGGGTAATTTTTTTTTTTGTTTTGTTTTGTTTTGTTTTTTTTGCATTTGCACAGTTTTTTTCTTTTATTTATTTATTTTTTTATTGAAACAACTTTTTGGGAATTGAATGATTAAGACACAAGTGTCCTACCCATGTATGGCCCAATCAATAAATAGATCCCTTCATTTATATGAAGGAACATTTTCAACAATAAAAAAAAGTGTTCAAATGCAATTTTTTGAGTCTCAAATGTTTTATTTGCATTCAAAAATAGTTTTTGAATTTTTTTATGCAAATTTTTGAATGATTTATCTTTTCATTGAAGTTACTTTTTTATTGATTCTGTTCTTTGCTTGTTTGTTTGAAGCAACTTCTTTTTTGATTGAATAATAAAGACACAAATGTCCTACCCATTATATGGTCCAATAAAAAAAATCAATGTTACTTCAATTAAAAAAGTTGCTTTAAACAAAAAGACTGGACTTCTATCAAATAAAACATTTTCAATCAAAGAAAAGCAGTGTTCAAATGGATTTTTTTAGTCTCAAATATATTTTTGCATTCAAATACTTTTTTTCTTTGATTGAAAAGTTTTTTTTTTTTCATTGAAGTGAAGATATTTTTAATTGGAAATATATTTTTTGATTGAATAATAAAGAAACAAATCTACCTTCATACAAAACTTCCTGCCAATAACAAAGACATATCTATATTTAACATTTGTTCTTACTGCTCAAAATGATCCAAACCTCTTCAATCATCAGAAGTTGCTCATGATTTAAAGAAAAATTTAACGTTTTTTCTAAATTATGCTTTTTTTGAACCTATAAAGAAACTCTAGGACTAAAAGGTCTACAATGTCTCTCAGCTTTAATGCTTTATTAAGAATAAACAAACGGTTCATAATATCCTGCCTTATCTACTCTTCTCATTGCTTTTTTTTGTAAGTTTATAAACTTTTACTTCAATAATTTAGATTAAATCTTCTAACCCTGCAGCTGCATCTCCTGGATCATCTCTGAATGATCAGCTCGACCCGTAAACGATCAGGTTTACCTCTTGTGCTACTTTCTTCATCTCCTCCACATATGCTGCCATGGCGGTCTCCTGACTCATCTCCCCGAGGCGACTCCACGCATCCCTGGAACGACCCCCCCCCAAAAAAAAACGGTTAAAAAACAGTGGAGCCGCGTTCGACCATCAGGCAGGAGGACGCCTCAGAGCCGAGACGTCAGACAGATTCTGTGGGCCGAGAGAAAAACGCCTCCATGCGCAGTAAGATAAAGAAGATAAAAACAATGATGCTGCAAAGGTGTTAGGCTGAGATTGAAAGGAGATCATAGTTTATTACACTGCAGTTAATATTTGCTGAAGCTGAGCGTTAAACTGAAACCTTCAGGGTCCAAAGCTCCATACTGACCACTTGTAGCGGCCCACTGGGTCCCAGAACCCGGGCCGGGGCGCCGTGCACGGTCCACACACAGCCTGCTTGTACAGACTGTAGAAACGCAGCATCACCTCATAAGAAGGCCTGTAGGAGCCTGTAGAGAAGCAGAAAAACAACGTTTCTTTATTTATACACTTGGATATTTCCAGAAAAAGTCTGATCATACAGACGGATTCTACCACTTCAGCCTAACTCTAGTTTTACAACCATTCAGACACATTCAGCTCATTTTCACAGTTCAAAGCACATCAATGTGGGCAGGGGCGGACTTAGGAAATGATAGAGAAATGTTAATAGAATAGACATCCATTATCTGTTCTAGGTTGTGTCCCTCTCTTCTTGTCCCTTTTCTTCTTGTTTTCCTCTCTATGTTTTGTACTCAGCTGACTTTTCATGCTGTCTCTAAAGGAATGAAAGATTTTTTCCAAGCACTAAGCTCACTTAGCTGATTGCTCCTTCCTGTGTTTCCAAAAAGGCCAAAGTAAATAACCCAGTCCTTCTTTTCACTGTAGACAAGCCATGATCTGCTTCTCTGTTCTCCATTTTTCATTTGGATGAAATAATAGCTGCATGAATCATGACAGCAGACAAGATAGACGAGAGCAGGAGGCGGGGTTACCAATCTACTTGCTCTGGAGAGCAGAGTTCGCTGCTTTTAGATGTTGTCTCTAAAGTCTCCAGTAGCAGAAAAAAGTCACTAGATTTGGCGCTAGGAGCTTTTTAGAAATCAAAGTGCTAGAGGGGTCTGAAAAGTGGCTAAATATAGTGACTAAAGCGCTAAGTTGGCAACACTGCTCTTTGCATGGTTTGTTTTCAAATGGTTTGCTGCTGTCTGTTTGGACCTTTCTGAACATGTGCAGCAAATGGACTGATCCAATATGGTGGACACTGAAGGGGGGGCTGAGACACAGGGCGTTTCTCAATATGCGTTCTTGAGCGTTCTCGTGTGCTCGTGACACGTCATCAGCCTCAGCCCGAGTAACGTTCCAATTCTCAAGAACGCCAGATCGAGAACGCATCAAATCCCCGGATGTTGTTCTCGCCCCGCCCTCTTTATCGAGCATGCATCAGAGCAGACTTTTGCGTTCTTCAGACTGACCGCTTCCCCAGAATGCCCCGCGGCCGCAGCTTGATTCCAGACAGCGCTCACAGTGTTAAGTTAAACATTCCCTTTTCTGCTGATGTTGTTCTTCAAAAGTACGTTTTGAAATCGTTTGAGGCGATAACATTATACATTGAAGCCTCCCTGTGTGGCCTGTTTACAGAGTTAGTGCGAAATAAAAAAAAAAGTCCGACGTTGAGCGGACCAGAATGACCAGCAGACCTCCGAGGGTAACCGCAGCCAGGGCTAAATTTACCCCGTCTGTAGTGCACTTCTCTCGGTCTAGTTATGTGTGAACTACCGCTCGTTCTGATGGCGGGTTTTTTGCAGTTCGGTAATTTTTTTTAATGTTTTTTAAGCTTTAGAAATTAAAAATATTGTTTTCAAAATGTTTTGTGTAGAGAATAAATGGTTTTGACTGTTAACAAAATGCTAAACAACGTTGCATGTGATGACGTCACAAGTACGCTTCTGCTCCAATACACATACGTGCTTGCGTGCTCGCGTTCTCGTCAAGTCCGATCTTCCTGCGTTCTCGCCAAGAACAGACTTGACGAGAACGCGAGTACGTGCTCGCGTTCTCGTCAAGTCCGATCTTCCTGCGTTCTCGCCAAGAACAGACTTGACGAGAACGCGAGTACGTACTCGCGTTCTCGTGAATTGAGAAACGCCCACAGTTAATATTATCAGTGTTCTGATGGAATTTTAGCCAAAGGATTTTTATCAAAAACATAATTAATGTGCACAAATAAGGAATAGCTGTATTAATCATACATGTAAACAGTTTTATGGGGCCCCCATGAACTTGGGGCCCTAGGCGACTGCCTAGTATTGCATAATGGTAAATTTCTCCATCTGTATAATGGGTCTGTTTTATGTGTCGTCTTCTCATTCAGGGGGCCCCCTGCCTGTCTTTGCCTCGGGCCCCAAATTTCCTAAATCAATTCAGTTTATTCTGTCCAATCAGCTGCCTGTAGTGTCTTTAAATGTCCAGCAGGTGTCAGTATTCTGTGAGACAGTATCAATATAGTTTGGCTTCAATGTGCCTCATTAATCACTAGCGTTTTATTTTTCATTGTTTTATAAGCAAGTCTCCCTCATTAGTTACTAATTGTGACTCAGGGCTGCTGAGGAGGAGCAACAGGAGCAGCTGTACCGGTTTTAGGCAGGTTATGGATCACATCCACTGCTGCCTGGAAGCGCCGCTGATGATCCACCGCAGCCATGGCCAAGACTGGCATGGTCCCAGCTACCAGGACCTGAGGGGACAGGGGGACACAGGGGGGGACACCGGGGGGACAGGTTGGTCAAAACGGCACAGGGACTCCTGACGGGTCTGAACCTTATCAGCTGCTCCACCATCAGGACTTCACCTGCCGCAGCTGAGCCTCACTAAGCCGGAAGTGGTCCTACCTCTGCGACGGTCCTTCCGGTCTCATTCCCTCAGGTGTCTTCAGTTTTAAAAAATCTGCAGTTTCACCGTTTCTCCTGGAAATGAATCCGCTACGATCGGTCTGAAAGTCACACGACACTTCCGCGTTGGTCACGTGACACCAGGTCACGTGGTTCTTTTAAAGCTACACTGGAGGAAACGAGCAGATAAAAAAATCTTTATTACTTTAAAGGTCAAAGTTATGTCTTTAATTCTCATAATTATGATAAAATATTTACATTTTCCTCTTTTTGGCTGATATGGGCTTCCATGATAAAACTTATTATTAACGATTCAGATATAACTAGACAGATTTTATATGACAAAATAAATCCTATTGACCTTGTATGGTTTGTGCAGACATTTATATCGTACTCCTCCATGAAGGGCCAGCAGATTCTGCAACAGCTTCTTCCCCACCGCCATCAGACGGCTGAACTGTTCAAAAACAAACTAAATAAAATCACAGACTCTGCATCATATCAGCAGTGGTGTCAAAAGTTACCACATTTGTTACTTCAGTAGAAGTATAGATACTGCAGTTTAAAAACACTTGAAGTATCAACTTGACCTCTTTAGTTAAGTAAAAGTGAAAAAGTATGTGCTCCAAAAACTACTTAAAGTATAAAAGTATAAAGTAACCTTAAAAAAAAAAAAGAGCCAGATGCCACTATATGAATTTTAAAGCTCAATTTTTGACTATCTCTAAAAACTCTATGAAATAGGGCCAAGGATGATGGAGGTCTTGTTGGTCTCCGTCTACCGATACGCTCTCGCCTGTGTCCGACCTTTCAGACATTTCAACATCTTTTTCTGAATCCAACATTGTAGCATGGCATAGACAATTCACGCTTGCAGTTTGAAGAACACCT